TCCCCAGGATGGAAGATGACATCATCCACCAGGAGGTCTATGGGCCTTCGGCAGACCTGAACACTCCCTGTTTGACCAATCCCAGTGTCTTGAATCTGCCTTCTCCCTCCTGCCACTGCTAGTTCTAGTTCAGTCCCTGGCTTGTGTCCACTGGACCTGACAGTGCCTCCTAACTTCTCTCAAACTCTGGCCTTCACTCCTTAAAGCCATCATCATGTACTCCATCCAAGCAAGGGGCCCTCTGCAGTTTTCAGCTCGAATTCCCAGAGGTTTCCAGTCATGCACACTTCGCATGGTAATGTCAGTCAATGCCTAGCATGACAGTTAAGGCTCCTGTGACCTGGGATTAAACTTTTTATCAAGTTTCATCCTTGCTACTTCCTGTTTTGTGCATTGCTGGTAACAAAAGGTCACACATATGTACACACACTATGCTGTCCCATCCTTTCATGCCTTAGAACATGTGGCTTTTCTCATGGAAATACCTTCCTCACCTGTCTCCTTGCTAACTCCCATTTGTTCCTATCTTCAGGGTTCACTTCGGGGTCACCTTTCCCAAGAATTTTTCCTTAATCCCAGGGTTGGGCTAGGTAATCTGCCATTCTGCTCTGTGCTCCCATTTGCTGGTTAAAATAGTCTTGTGTGTCTGTCTTCCTGTCCTGACTGCCAGCTTGCCCATGGACATGACTGCATCGTATTCACATTGGGTACCGCTACACACGGCAGACCCCGGACAGAGGCCTGTGGACACAGTGGCCTCTTTTGGTTCCCTGCTCCCTCCCTTCACCTGTTCACGATTACAGGCAAGTTTTAGTCATCAGAAAAGCTTACTTCAATGTTTGCTATAGAAGGGACGCTCCAACAGCTAAGAGGTGACATGAGTTAAAACTGAAGGTTGGATAACTGGCATTTTCATAAAAGGGATGTGTGTAAGAAAGGTCTCCAGTCTCACTGAAATGCTCCCTATTTTGGTGCTTGGCAACAATTGATGAGCAATGAAATATACAGTATGATTCAGTTGTGAGGTATTACCCTATTCTGGTATCCAAGAACTCACAGATACCCTAAAGAACTTTAAGAAACTGAGTATAGCACTAAACTTCTAATGGTCCCTTAGATAACCAGAGAATATAAGCGTGTCCACAAATTTTGGAAATGGACAATACTTTATTTTTTGTTGCAGATTGAAGATGTCCTTGACGACATTGTGTGTATTTCCCCATCTGCAGCCTTTACAAAGCATTCTGTTTGCTTATGGAGAACTCATCAAAGCTTCCCATAATGTGTATCAAAGTCACTGAGAGTAATTGAATCTTTGATCCCCTTTGTGAAACTGGACGTGTCGTACTACAAAATCACCAAAATATAATTTTGTCAAGTGCCATGTCAAGAAGTGCAGACATTTGATTTAGTTATGGAACCCGAGTTTCTGAAATGACAAGAAAATATTTCCAGCATCTCAGCAGCGAATCCTGCTTCTGCTGCATGCACATCACACAGGGTTTGGAGGTAGCTCTCCAAAATATTAGCTGAAAGCTTCCTAGGAAAGCAAATCTTTCCCACATCCTTCCCTGCAGTTCCTCTTTAAGAGGTGTCAGCATGGCTGAAAGAATGAAGTGGCTGCACATTGTCTGGCAGAGCTATTATGTGCTTAACATTTCCATAACAAAAGTGCCACTCGACTTCTCCCGATTAATGCAGCTCGAGGGCTCTTGTCGGCCTTTAATAAAACATTGTTGAAATCATTTATTTAGAGCCCCTGGTTACTAGTGGGAGAATGACCATCTTTGTGCCAAAATATAGTGTATACAGTCCACTATTTTGTAGTAGATCATTCTGTTATTTAAGAAACTGATTAAATGGATGTCTTAGAAGGTATTTATGCTAATAGCACATTAGTTATATCATTCAGATAGTCAAGGGTGAACCTTTTCAACTGTCTAGCAGAGGCAATCTGTCAAATAGTATACAGTAACATCAAGTTTATTTAACTCACAAAGCTTCAAGACCTGCTGGAAACCCAACCCTCTCAGAACTCCTCTTAGGCCACAGGGCATTTGTTACATGGTGCAGCCCAACAACCTTGCTTTGGGTAGTTGGGAGAAACCAGGTCAACTGACAATGTTTCTGATGTTCACTGGTGTAAGAGGTAAAAAAGCAACATGTGCTTTTCTTTCTACAGTTTTGAAAAAGGATACACAAGTTTCTGTTCCAGAACTTCCATAGCTGAATCCAGTAAACTAATAATGCAAAAGTAAAGTTTTAAAGTAGCAAGATTTTCAAGAGAGTTTGATGTCCTTGTAAGTTCTCATAGCATTCCCTTCTCTTTTTATACATTCCCTCCTCTATACAGCACAGCATGGCTGGGATGGAATGGGGTGTGAACTCCAGGAGTACCACCCTAACTGGTTTCTCTTGACTCTTTGAGAGAGACAGAGAGAGAGCTAGAGACAGAGAGACCACTGGTTTTGACCCATGTGTCAGAGCATGGCGGCCCCTTAAGTTTGTGGCAGTTGGCACCTTGCTTACTTGAACGGACAAGAGCCACTTCTTTACTTACTAACATTGTCAGGGCCCTGCCCAAGCACAGGGATGTCCTGCTACTTAGTACAAGTATTTAGTTTCCTCCAGCCATTTTTACACTTTATGTCCATGTATTGCTTACATACATTGCTAAATGTTGTTAAAAATAAACAGAGACCTTATGTTATATCCATTGTGGTCATGCACAAAAGCACTGCTGTGTGCTTGGGTGGGCAATGAAGCCTGCACCTCCTTCTATTTACTGTATGGTCACTGTCAGTTCAATGAACTGCCTCCTTGTTCTCCACCATTGTCCTACACTCCCTTAAACATTTGTCACTGAAGTGCCTCCACAGACAAATAAACTGTCACTGAGAATGCAAACCTGCTAACTGGGGAAATGGGAACGGCCTCAAGGACACATGATTTTACATGAAATCCAAAAGGAGCTCCTCTCACCCTGGAAGACTTCTTTGAGAAGTGTGGTACTTTTTCAGAATCCCTAGGAAAAGCCAAAGATACCTTTTCTTTCAGTAATGGTACTTCCAGGCATTCTCTGTGAAACATTTGGCCATCTCAAATGTCCACAATTCCAAAAGGCTCCCAGGAGACTGTGAGGTATCACAGGTATCAACATCTGTAAAAATCCTTTCTGCCTCGGAGCAGATGGCAACCTGCAATCCCATGACCAAAGCCGAAGGTCCTAACATCTCAGAAACCAGTTCTGGAATCTACCAGGTTTGCAGAGGAATAAGGAGGCTCCTGGGCTCTTGTGTCTAACTGTTTAAATTAAAATGGGCCACCGATCAATGTTCACTTCTTCAAGGAAGAAAGCAAAAAGCCTCGTTTCCCCTCTACCCAAGAGCGAACTGTGTTGATTTATTCCAGGCAGATGCTTTTGACAGGACCCTGTAAAATCAAGTTGTGAGTTTATTGTAGCAGTTAATTATCAGGCCTTTTCTAGTGCTAATGCCTTTTACTTCTTACTAGGGAAACCTGGGCCTTTTACTGGAACAAAGACTTAACTTTTAGTCAAGAATGTGTTAAAATAACATGAGATGGAGGTGATTTAAATACATTTAAGGGCAAACGCAGAAGCAGAGCTAACTCCACTTTTTGTTAAAGAAAGCTGATTTCACTTACCAGTCCCTTGTAATACTCTTTGTTCACGTCCCAAAGACACCACACTTTTAAGCTTTGTTGTGCCAATATGTGTACTCAACCATTCAGGTGACGGGGGACTGCAGCCACACACCACTCTCTTAGGCTTGTCTATTGCTACAACTATCTCAGATTTTCTGATGCTGCGCACATTTATCTTAGTTTTAGATCCAAGTGCCTTGAAGCCTCCCATTAAAGCCTGGAAAAGAGCGAGTTAGAAGCAATAGCAACCCCCAAGAAGGGGGCGGGAGTGGGTGGGAGGAAGTTGGAAGGGAGCATAGCTTTGTTAATTACTTCAGGCAGCAGAGAAATCTGGTTATGTTTTCTCAGTACATGTTAATATCATATAAAGAGACACGAGATCTTGCTAATCTGTCGACCCCTCAGACAAAGTTTATTTGTGGTGACTTTTTAAACTCCTGACTTGCCTTCCAATCACCGCGTTTAAAATGAAAAGCTTTAAATAAACACCAGGAATAGAAGATAAATAAACTTTTTTTCCCCCTTGCAAGTGCCTTAGCTTGGCGAGGTTCAGACTCAAATCCCCAGAGGATAGAGCGCTCTCTTTTGTGTTAATGTTTAAAAGATTTTCCAATGCCGGAGTTTATTCCTACTGCAAACATTTCTATTTACAAGGTCAAGTGTATCAGCACTCGACACAGCTTAAGAGTGTAATTATTTATCTAAGGGCGTTTGAGTGTAGATCAGTAGCTCTGGCAGGAACCCAGCCTTCAGCCCACTGCTAAACAACTCCTCACAACAATATTACAAGTTCTGGTAATTGTTCCTCTCCCCAGTGTGTTTACTTTTGCCAGCCTGAATGTTTTGTAACTAAATTTTGTACTTTTTCACCCAAAGAGTGAAAATGACTTTGAAGTTGAGTCTCCCAGGTTTCCTAAGACCTATTGGTAACAGATGTTATTGGCATGTTTGATTGTATGAGAATTATATGATGGATGAGGACATCCCTTGTGAAGGGGGGTGAGAGGTGGGGGGAGATGGTCCCTGTGGAAGAGGGGGAGGGGAAAGAGATGCCTGGGTTTAACCCCAAGTTATGTAGGCAGGACAGTATTTTGTGTATTCTCTCTGCAAGCATAAAAACCAATGGAGACCAGTCAGTTTTATCTTTTTAGCTGCCTCATTTACAGATGTCTAATTGTTCATTAAATCAAAGGCAGAAATAATAGCCCTCATTTCATGTCTTGTACTGTATCTTAATTTCAGTTGATTGTTGATAGATTCCCAGGGGCCCCTCCACCCACCTCCTTACCCCTTATTGGGTTAACCACAATGTAACTTTAAGTAACTACACCATATTCATTATTTAAAACTCTTTACTGATGTACACATTTTAATAAAACAAATAACCAAAAAATACACAAAGCCAGAGTTATTTAAAACATAGGACTTTAAAAAAATGTCTATAAAAATACAATGTTTAAGGCAGTTTGGAAATGCATTTATACATTTCTACAATTCCATAAATTCTCTTGAAAATAAGAATGTTAACTTCAGATCTATAAAATACACTGTACATTTTAAGACTGTTCTGGATAGGGCACACATCACAATGGACTGTGGTTTGGGTCCCTGGTGACAGGTGTAAGTAACATGGGTGTGGATTTAAAATTTTTCATTTCTTTTTAAAATAAATTATTTTTGAAGCATACAATTTATAAAAATTCTATATACAAAGTACAGCAACTGGTAACAAACCCCAGTTTTAATACACTTTATATAGGAAGTACCAGGGTTTAGCACCCTGATAAAAGCAGAGGCAATATACATTCCCCGCGTATTTGTACATACACTCTTCTTAATATAAAGAAAAAAAATGACAACAAAACAAACATCGTAAAGAAGCTTTCATAGATGGCAGTGCGCAGCTCTTTTAAATAAAAACTTGCATTGTTTATCACCACTAGCAACTCTTTAGGATCAGCATTTTTTGACCCTTCAACCTAAAAAATGTGCTAAGAGATCAGAATGGCGGCAATGAAATTAAGGATCCCTCCGTCCTCCTCCCCGCCAAACTGCAAATTCTGGCCGCTGACCAAGAGTAAACTAGTGAACAGTAAGTGGGGTTTTTCTGATTATTCACGATTGCAATGTCCTCACTGGCACAATAAATGTCGATACCGGCACCCCCCCCCCCAAGGAAAAAACGCTAATAAACAGAGCTCCTTTACAAATATAAATCCTTCAACCCCCTCTCCAAACCCAGTCCCTTAAAGCTGGTAAGGCCCCACTGGTCTGCGTCCTTTATTCCGAGTCCAAGACTACGGTTCTGCGCCCCGCACGCTCGTGTGCCCTCGGGCTTCCTGAGCCCTAGCCAGGCTAGTTTTTACAGTACCAGTTGGATGGTTCTGCGACCCGGGACGGGGCAAGGGAGGATGTCAAGCTCGGAAGAGGACACCGGCAAGTGCCAAGAGTCGTGGAAGGGAGACGGGCTAAGGCAGAGTCTACTTCGAGAACGTTTTTGGCAAGTATCCGTAATCATCCCCTCTGTCCCCAAGCCACAGGTGCCCTGGCGTCGGCCCTCCCTCAGCCAACGGCGGGGGCGCGGGGTTCTAGAAGAGCCCCTGGAGCAGCAGCAGCAAGATGGAGGCGAGCGGGATCCAAGCGCCTCGGGGCGCCGCGAGGCCGCCGCCGCTGCTCCGGCGCCCGGGCCCATAGGGCAAGTCCCCGCGGCCGCCGGCCGCTGCAGCGCCGCCGCCCGGGCGCGGCGGGTGCGGGACGCCGTCGTCGTCGTCCAGCGGCTGCTCACCACCCGCGCCCCCGGCGCGCTGCTCGTCGTCGTAGTCCTCGTCGTAATAGTCGTCCAGGCCCCCGTCCGAGCCGCTGCTGCCCGGGCCGTTGCCGAGCTCAGCGCCGAAGCACAGGCGGGCCATGTTCTCCTTGACTGACTCGCAGATGGGTCGCTCCAGACCGTCGCACACGCAGTCGTTGAGCAGCGCCGCCTTGGGCACGGCCAGCATGTCCTCGATGACCGTGCGGCACTCGTCGGTGCAGCGAAGCCCGTTGAAGAGCTTGCCGCAGTAGGTCAGGTAACGGCTGAGCGCCAGGTTGCAACGGCTGTCGCGGTCGCAGCGCCGCCGGGCCTCGGTGCAACCCATGACCCCACCCGCGCCCGGGCCGCCCGCGCCTCCGCTGCTTGTCCGGGGAAGGCACGGCTCAATGGCGCGCTTGGTGGACTTGCAGTTCTCGTCCTGCGCGCAGTCACAATCCTCCAGGGCGGGCCCGCGGCGCGTGTGGTTAAGCTGAATGAGGGCCGAGATGCAGTGGCTCGGACAGCGCCAGCGCGACGAGAAGGAGGCGGCGGCGGCCGGGAAGGTGGCGGCGGCGGCCCCCGGAGAGTCGCCACCGCCGGGCTGCGCCAACACCGGCGCGCACGCCTCGGCATACTGGCTGTAGGCGTAGCTGCACTCCGGCTCCCCCTGGCACTGCAGCAGCGCCTGCCAGCAGATGAGGCGGCGGCCGTGCGCCAGTCCCGAGCCCCGCGGCGCCGAGCCCAGCAGCTGCAGCAGCGCCATCAGGCACAACCAGGAGCCCGGCACGGTCCCCCCGCGGGCCCAGCCGCCGCCGCCCAGCAACCCTGCCACCATCGCGGGCAGCGGCGGCCTCCGGGCGAGGAGGGGAAAGGAGACGAGGAGCGGGCAGCGACGGACGCGGAGCCGGTGGAAAAGTTTGCCCCAGTCCTGCCAACTTCTTGCATGAGTGTTTTCATAAATCCATGCGCGCCGCTCTCTGGTGTCCCGCTGCTTGCAGAAGGTCGGCTGGCACTCGGGCTGCGGTGGCTTCCTAGAAATGCACAGCCGCGGAGGGCGCCTCCAGTCGGCCCCCGGCGGTGGCGGGAGGCGCTCACTGCTGCCCCGGGGGGCTGCGGGCCGCAGGGCCGCGGCGGGGCTGCAGGACCGCGCGGCGCCGCGGTTGCATCTTGCTCCGCGCCTGCAGATCCGTTGTGCGGCCGCCGCGGCTCTTTCCTCCGGAGTCAGCGCCGCGCCGCTGCCGCCGCAGCCGCGGCCGCGGACTCTCGCATCGCGCCGCTTCCTGGCTCTAGTCCGTGCGCTGCCCGCGTTCCCGCGGCCAGGAAGCCCGCGTCCCCTCCCCCTCCGCCCGCGGCGACCCCGGCCTCGGCCGAGCTCTGGGGAGCCCTTTCCGGGCGGCGCGGAGGAAAGAACTTCGGCGCGGCTGGAGAGCGGCTCCCGGGCTTCCCTCGGCGACGGCTTCTCGGGTGACAAGGAGCCCGGGGAGCGGATCCACTGAACCTCGCTGCGGACTCGCTCGCAGCTAGGCTTTAAATACAAAAGTGGGCCGGGAGCCCCCGCGTGGTGCCGCGGTGCCCCCTCATTATGCATGCATGGAAAAGCAAACAAACAAAAACATTAGCAACGCTCCTCCGGCTCGCCGAGCCCCGGCCCCGCGCACTCTGAGCCTGCCCGCTTTCTCCTTTCTCCACTCTCTTTCGCCCTTTGCTCGGCCCCCTTTCCCTGCTTTTCGAGATGCTATTGGTTCTGCCTGTTGTTGTTGAAACTTTTTTTTTCTTTTTTTTACAAGCCGCTGGAGTGGGGTTGCGGAGTGGGGGAGGGCGGGGAGCGCGGTGGGCAGTTCACATTCAGGCATTCAGGGCTTGAAAGGAACGACTTAGGGAGGCTGACAGAGGCCCCGGAGCTCCTCCTACTCTTAAGGAGGCGCGGATATGCAGCCCCAGCTCGCGCTCAGAACCTGCGGGCAGGGCTTAGGGGCAGCTGTTTGCATCCGGCTCGGCCACGGGCCTTTTTGTTTAGTCGTTCTCTGCTCTCCCCCACCTCCCCGCCCCGTCTTTTTTTCTTTTTCTTTTTCTTTTTAGTTTTATTAATTCTGGCTCCCATCTGTGCCTCGACTGGGTTCAGAATTCAGTTTGTTTTTCGAATTCCCCACCTTTGGGTCCCCTCATCACAGGGGAGAGGAGGGAATCAGAGAATTTAATGTCGGACTTTGAACGCACACAGGAAAGAGGCTTGGGGGATGCTGATGAGATATTTACAATCCCTCACTCCCTCACGTCCCCGCGCCCGCATTCCAGCACCCACCCCCCACTCCCGCCCCGATTTGCTGATCCAGCAGGTAAGGCCCTTGAACCAAGGCATCCTTGTCAATTGGAAGACAGGAATCCAACTAACCAAACTGATTTTTCAGGAATATAAGTTTCGAACACGGGCGGTGATGCAAAAAAAAAGAGCATTAAAATTCTTTAGTAACGTTGAGCAGTACCATCTGGCCGCAGCCACAAGGTAAAGGAAGGGGCTGAGTTGGCTCGCCTCCAGGTTTCTATGAAAGTATGTTTCAATCCCTCGCTGGATTTAAGCGAAGCTGCCCGACTGCAGCAGCCTCTGCGATCCCAGCGCGGGAGTTTGCGAACTACCTTAACTGCGGAGCAACGCAGCCTTTGACCACCAGAGGCACCGGGTGTCTGCGGCCTGTCAAAAACTGGCGCTTTTTTCCTCCCCTTTCCGTGGAGAGACTATCAACTCCATCTGTCACAGAAATTAAGGCTAAATCTCCTTTTCAGAAGCAGAGGGACCCGGGCTCCAGGACGCAGAGTTCGGCTGTCCATTCTCCCCGGACACCAGGGGAATTTGCAACGGCAGACGTCAGAAGCAAGCTACAGCGTGTGAAGTTTACCAGGCTGCAGGGAAACCTCCTTGCTGTTCCTGCGGAGGCTGCTGCATTCCTTAGAGGCTCTGGGTCTGCCTTAGGAAGCTGCACCTCTGCAATCCCCAGAACAAAACAAAACAAGACTCCAAAGAACAAGGCTGAGGTAAGGTAGACCATGTGGCTCTGACTTGAGTGGTAGAAAACACACAGATAACAATATCCACCTCTATTAAAGAAAAAAATACAAAGACTGTAACTGTGTGGCCTATCAAAACAACCATATCCCAGGCTCTGGGTTTGTTCTTGTGGTTTGGAGTTACAATCTCAGTTCTGCTGGGAGGGCTTGAACACATCCCACTCCTCTGTGACTTGGCTCCTTTACATGCAAGGTTTAAGGCCAGATTAGATACTTGAAAAAGTCCTTGAGTCTATAATGCTCTGTGGTTTTAGGCTCATAAGAACAAGGTCAGTATTCACCTACATTTTTAAAATTAATGGTTGTTGAGTTGCTTTAGAATAGTGGATCTCAAAACATAGTGAGCATGAGACTTTCCTGGTGGCCTTGTTAAACCCAGATTGCAGGGTCCACTCCTGGTGTTCCTGATGCAAAGACTTGTGAGGCCTGGGAATCTGCATTTATAACAAGCTGCAGATTGCTGCTGCTTGTCTGGGGACCAGACTTGCATAGGCTGCCAGATAGACCAAGCCCGAGAAGGAGGCACTGTGAGATGGAAGAATGAATGTGTCCCTCTCTCATAAGACCTGGTGACCCTGAGTACTACCTCGGCTTGCACCAGGTTCTCACTGACAGCCACCAGACTATCAAGCCTCCCCTCTTCGCCCAGACACTAATCCCCATATCACTCTGTACATCTCTTAAACTGACTTCATTCTCATCACAAGCCACCCCCCTACCCCACATCCCCAAGAAAACCCACAACCGCTGGAGCTGTCAATCTGTCCTCAGCAGTCTTGCATATCCTCAACCTGCTTTCTGAGCTGGATCTCCACCTTCTTGCTCTAACATCCAGCTGGAACCTACAGAATGGGAGAAAATATTTGCAAAGCGTGTATCTGATAAGGGGTTAATAGCCAAAGTATAAAAGGAACTAATACAACCCAATAGTAAAGAACAATCTGATTTAAAAATGGGCAGAAGAACTGAATAGATTTTTCCAGAGAAGGTATACGAAACGAACAGGCAACAAGAACATGAAAAAGTGCTCAACGTCACAAATCATCAGGGAAATACAAATCAAAACCACAATGAAGTATCACCTCCTATCTGTTAGAATGACCATCGTCAAAAAGCCAGGAGATAACAAATGCTAGCAAGGATGTTGGGAAAAGGGAACCCTGGTACACTGATGGTGGGAATGTAAATTGGTGTTGCTACTATGGAAAGCAGTATGAAGTTTCCTCAAACAATTAATAATAGAACTACTGTATGAGCCAGCAATCTCAATTCTGGGTATTTTTTCAAAAGAATTGAAATTAGGATCTCAAAGAGATATCTGCACCCTTGTGTTCATTGAAGCATTATTCACAACAGCCAATATATGGAAACAATGTAAGTGTCCATCAGCTTTGTCCATGGACAAAGAATGGATAAAGAAAATGTTATACATATGTAACATTTTACACACACACACACACTGGAATGTTATTCAGCCATTAAAATAAGAAAGAAATCTTGCCATTTTCATCAACAAGGATGGTCCTTGAGGGCATTATGCTAAGTGAAGTAAGTCAGATAAAGACAAGTACTGTATGATCTCACTTATCTGTGGAGTCTTAGAGAACCAAACTCAGAGAGTAGAATGGGGATTACCAGGGACTGAGGTTGGTGGGAGAAGTGGGGAGATGTGACTCAAAGATGCCAACTGCCAGTTAGGAGATGAGAAAGTTCCTGGGGATCTAATGTGCAACATGGCCACTGTAGTTAACACTATGTTATATACTTGGAAGTTGCAAGGAGAGTGGACCTCTACCGTTCTCACTGTGACAACCACCACAAAATAGTCAGTATGTGAGCTAAAGGATATGTTAACTGGCCTTATTGTGGTACACATTTCACCATATGGATATATGTTTATCAAATTGTCACATTGTATGCTTTAAACTTATACAATGTTATATGTCAATTACATGTTGCTGAAGCTGCAAAACCAACACCTCAGGTGGCCCCTGTTGGCCCAACTTCTGCTTTAGTCCTGATTCAGCCGGGTTGCTTTCTCTTTCAGAGCCCACATCCCCGAGGCCTTGAAGTGGGAACACAGGCTTGTTGTTCCTCCTTTGTTCCCACCTCCAAACCATTCTCTTCCCTCCTCCCTGGAAATCTCTACCTTCCTTGACTGGAATGCTGTCAGACTGTTCCGCCACCCACAGCCCTTGTCAACCAGGATTGCTCACAGGAACCGCAGGAGACAGACGGTGAGTCCTCTCAGGATGGCACCCAGCCGGTGCCAGTGTGGACACAGTGGGGAGAGGCAAGTCCATTACGTGCAGTGGACTCTGTATCAGCCAGAGCCTGCCCAGAGAAGACGTCTGTAAGGAAAATGGAGGAAGGATTTATTATGGAGAGGAGACCGTCCGCAGCTGTGGGAGCCGACAGCAGGGACTGCAGTCTGTTGCTTCTGGGTCTGGAACTGAGCCTGAATTCACTGTGGAAAGCCAGGACCAGTTGGAACCCAAGGGGAAAACTGGAACCAGTGGGGATGAATGAGAACTGGCATCTCCCACATCATGTCCGACCTAGGTGCCGCACGGGGTGACCTGCAGGGGGAAGCTGGCACCCTTCACAGTGGAACTGGCACTCACTTTGTCCAGGACTCAGAGAAGCAAGGTAGGAAAGCAGAAGGGAGCTGAGGAGGCCCAGGTCCAGGTGCTGACCCGGCACCCAGAGGGAGCTTCCACTCAGCCACAGTGGGTGCTGGCTGCCAAGTCCTGGGGGCCTCTGCCACCTTTACAGGACAAAAGTAACATGTCTGCTGCCTCACTCCCTCCTTCCAAATCTGGTGCAGGCTTTCCCTTGCGGCCAGCCCTAACATGGAACCACGCCGGGAGGAGAATACTGCGGAACGTGATTCCACCTCAGCCGAGCTGATGCAGTTCAGGGCCACCACAGAAGCCTTTGGCCTTCAGCCCTAATTTCCTTAGGACTGCCCTTCCTCAGAGGCCAGCGTCTGGCTCATCGTCTTTCTCTCCAGACTCCTCTTATCATTCGTGGCAACATGGACCCCTTAGTTCTTTGCCTCACATCGAAACACCAACTTGTAATCTTACCCGAGACCTAAGCATGAACATAACCATGTCACCTCAGAAATCTCTAACTCAAAATCAGTAATTCAAACATTATTTCACTAACACCACCTGTCTTCTCAGCTCACCTCCAGTCCTGTCGCCTCTCACCTACTCAAGATCTGGCTTTGAGGTTCTTTCCCCCTCCACTGCCTCAGTTCTCTGGCTGCTATATCACTCATTCCCATCCTCTTACAGTAGGCCATACTCTCTCCAGTCTTAAAATAATAACAAAAACAAAAAAACCCTTCCCAGACCACTTAGTAACTATCCCATTTCTATGGAAACTCATTGAAACTCTTGCTTTTACTCACTTTTTCCACATTCTCCTTAATTCCCTATAATCAAGTTTCATCCACCATTTTTCTCAGCAAGGTCGCTGATGACCACATTCTTGCTCTACTCAGTGGTCAATTCTCTGACCTTAGGGTACATGGAACATGACCGACCACCTCTCTTTCTGGTGCTTTCTCATGTGGCTCACACTCTCCTGTTCCCCAGGGTACTCCCTGGCGGCTCCTTCTCG